TGCATTTGTATTGCCACCCACACTGGACATGGCATGATGCATTTGTACTGCCACCTGCATTGGGCATGTCATGCTTCATTTGTATTGCCACCTGGATTGGGCATAGCATGCTGCATTTGCCTCACAACCTGCATTGGACATGCCAGACTGCATTTGCAATGCCACCTGCATTGGACATGCCAGCCTGTATTTGTATTTCCACCTGTACTGGACATAGCATGCTGCATTCGCATTGCAACTTGCTTTGGCCATTGCCAGCCTGCAATTTCATTGCTTCCTGCATTGGACACAGTGTGATCAGTGGAGTGAACCTGCTCTGGGCTGCCTCCGATGGCCAGTCTATCTTTGCTTAGATACGGGGCCCCAAAACCGTTCACAGCATTTCCAGCTGTGGTCTGACTAGTGCCCTGTGTAGTTTAAGCAAAACCTCTCCACTGTTATACTCCATTCCCTTCGAAATAAAGGCCGACGTTTCATTAGCCATCCCTATTCCTCGCTGAACTTGGATGCTGGCTTTTTGTTAGGATTCCCCGAATCCCTCTGTTCCATAACTTTCGCATCACAGGATCTCACTCAAAACCCCCTCCCCCTCACCCATGTGTTTTATATCCCCCATCCGAGAGTGGGGAATACAGTGTCTTAGTGCCTACTTTGACAAGTCCCCTGAGGCCATACCATGAATGAGATAAATGGGTCTAATTAATTTGTACATTTCCCTAAAGAGCTAATTTCTCCGTGAGCTGGAGTTAGCTGCAAATCTGTATGATTCAGTCTCAGATACGTACTTGATGCTATATTTAGGGCTTGTGTCATTTCACTCTCTCTTTAGCTGAGAGAGGGAGTGGGCACCAAGTTTTGCTTGGCACCAGCAAAACTCAAGTATCCTGGAGGAGGTGTGCCCCTTGCTCAGCCCTTGGGCCTAGTGTAACAGCCTTCCTTGGAGGGCAATGGGCAATCCGTGCGTCCGAGAGGGGGGGATTCAAATCCCGCCACCCCTTGTGGAAATTGACGGCGAAATTCAGTGACGTTGAAACTGTCACGAGAATTCAAGGCCTGCTCTTCCAGAAGGATGTATCTACACACGGGGAGACTGCCAATCGACAGGCCTGGCGAAATTAGATCACTTCCTGGTCACCGAAACTCCCCAGGTCAAAGAAACCGCTTGGCTGCTGAACACGATGATCTCAGAAGCAAAATTAACCCCAGTTATCACTTCACTTTTCAAATGAATAGCAGGGTATTCCCTTTCTCAGCGGTAGAAAGTACAAAACAAATACAGGCCAGTCCAACTCCAATTCTGTGTTTTTTTTCTGGTTTAGTTCCCCAGATGACTCAACATACTCAAGCATCTCGGACTTCCCCATGGCTCCAGTTAGTCAAATGCTAACTGATACTGCAGAATGCTTGTGTGTCTCTTTCGGTCACAGGAGTCCAGCTACAATTGAGTCACAAATACTTCCTACTTGTTTTCTCCCCACTGTTTTCTGACCCCCTTTTACAGTATCCTTGAGGTTCGGGGCTCTCACAATTCCTGGCCTCCATCCAAGTGGCACAGCGCACCACGATTCCATTCTTGTAAATGAGCATTTTCAGTTGGGGGCAGCACCGGATTGTGACCTCTGTGACACAAACACACGCACTCACACTCACAATCACGTGCTCGCACACACACACACACACAGACACACACACACTCTCTCACACGCACTCACTCATACACACGCGCATGCACACACACATTCACACACAAGCTTTCACACACACACACTCTCTCACACTTGCACACACACACATAGACACACACTCTCTCACCTACACACACAATTAAACACTCTCACACAGACAATGTCACACACATAATATCACACACACACTCACAGACACACATAGACACACACACACACTCTCACGCATGCACACACATATAGACACACACCCTCTCTCAATGACACACCCCGTCTCTCTCTCTCTCTCACACACATACTCACACACAGACAGACGCACACACATACTCTCACACACATAGACACACACACTCTCTCACTCACACACACACTCTCTCTCTCTCCCTCTCACAAACACACATGCACACACGTACACACACACACACACACACACACACACACACTCTCTCCATCTCTCACAAACACATACCCACAGACCCACATACACACACACATTTGTCAGGACACACACAAGAATGCCAAATTTCAAACAATGATGTCAACATATACGACAGGAGAAAAGGGTGCTGATTGGTTGGCGCTTCAGTTCTGATTGGCCACACCGTTGCCGTGGGCAAACCATGTGGAATTATAAGCTCCTGAGTATCTCAAACAAAGCTTATTTCTTTCTTTTGCAGAGAAAGCCTCCCTTTGTACGAATGCATGTCACTCCTTAGTTGGCTTAGATGAGCTACAGTGTGAGCTTGACTGACTATCTTTAATTGGTAGCTATTGGCGCACTTTGGATTGTTTGGCAAGTGGTGTCCGATTACAGAACCACATCTAACCGTGGACCCTTTCAGGTTCTGCGAGGTGTCTCCTCTGTTCCCTAGCCTCATTCAAGTCTCCTCAACCTAAACCCGGCCAAGTTAATCAAGGCCTACTAATAACCACCCATTGCTGGCATGCTTTCCTCTTGTAGTATGTGTTGTTGTGATGGTTTGAAATTTGCCACTCCTTTTCCTTTATTTCAAACAAGTATACTTTATTTGCAAATAATATCTTCATGCACATGCACAGCCACAAGAGCAGTTCAGTTCTGCACCATAGCATATCAAGGATGATGGAGTTTGACTCTATCCAACAAACTAAAGACATCTCTTACACACACAAGACTATATTTACATGCATTGAGGCACTAGGAGGGTCCGATAACTGTACAGACCCCCATTTGCCTTCAGCAGGAAGACCTCAGATAGTGGTCTTTCCCCAGTGCGCCTTGGAAGCAGCTGCCCCAAGCTTTAGGGCGTCCCTCAGCACATAGAGTCCTGGACCTTGCAATGTGCCCAGTCTGCAGCACTCGGTCAAGGTCAAGCCCTCGCTCTGGGAGACCAACAAGTTTCTGGGCAGACCTAAGAGCGCCCTTCGCAGGGATTGATGGTCCTCCTGGCGCAGTTGGTGTTGGTCTCGGTGCGTGCGTCCCGGGGGCAGGGGCACAGCCTTGGAGCATGGATCCCCTCCCTACCCCTTCACGGAGCTGCTCGGGATGAACCACTGTGTCTTTCTTTCTCTCCAGAATTCCTTTGCAAAGGCACATTCCTGAAGGAGATGTGTCACACTCCCCAACCCACCCCATAGCTGCTTTGAGGGCAGCGTGTATTGGCACAGCCCGACCGGGTATACATGAAGGATCTCACAAGGTAATGCCCTTCTCAGCACCAGCTGCTCATTGAGAAGTTCTGGCCATGCCCGGCTATGTGCCACAGGAGAAACCTTTTGGTGCAGCATTTCGTTTGCGATCGTCCTGGTATGGTTTGAATACACACTTTTGGATTCCATTTAACCAGCGCACTACACGTACCTTTCTCTACTATTTGGAAGAGATAAGTCAAGTTAAACCAACATGAATGGGTACTGGGTTACAGGTTATAAAAGGCATATGGAGGCACTGAAGAGGGTGCGGAGATTTGGAAGGATAATATCGGAAATGTGTGAGTATGGATATCAGGAAAGGATTGGCAGACTGGGGTTCTGACTTCTTGAAAACTGAAGGCCAAGGGTGACCTAATAGAGGTGATTAAGATCCACTTTCGATGGAATGGATAAGGAGGGAATGTTTTGTCCTTGTTGGGGGAAGAGCAGAACCAGAGGCAGACAGTATCAGACAGTCCCCGAGAAATCCCATCATTCCCAGAGAGAGAGGGGCATAACTCCCACAGGAATGGATTAGTGCAGGATAGGGTGGATTGGCCATGGAAAATTACCCATAGTGCCCAGAGATGTGCAGGTTAGGGTGGATTGGCCGTGCTAAATTGTCCCATAATGCCCAGGGATGTGCAGATTAGGGTGGATTGGCCGTGCTAAAATGCCCCGTTGTGTCCAGGGGATGTGTAGGTTAGGGTGGATTGGCCATGGTAAATTGCCCCATAGTGTCCAGGGATGTGCAGGTTCGGGTGGATTGGCCGTGCTAAATTACCCATAGTGCCCAGGGATGTGCAGGTTAGGGTGGATTGGCCGTGCTAAATTACCCATAGTGCCCAGGGATGTGCCGGTTAGGGTGGATTGGCCGTGCTAAATTACCCATACTGTCCAGGGATGTGCGGGTTAGGGTGGATTGGCCGTGATAAATTACCCATAGTGCCCAGGGATGTGCGGGTTAGGGTGTATTGACCGTGCTAAATTACCCATAGTGCCCAGGGACGTGCAGTCTGGCCGCGGGAAATGTAGGATTACGGGGACATCGTCTGGCTGGGGTGCTGTTCGGAGGACTGGCGTGGACTTGATGGGCCGAACAGCCTGCTTCTCAAACTGTAGGGGACAGGGACACTGGGGCTGATGAGAAAAGAAAGCCTCCTTTAAGATAATCTTTCTCAAGTTGGCACCTACAGAAAAGTCTGCTACAGGAACCTTGCAACTTGTCTGAGCTCTCTCTCTGAG